GGGAAAGAGAGAAATCAACTCCAGGATGGGGGGGGTGTGGCCATGCCACAGTTCCTTCACCTCCATAATCTTCCTGGGATTTGGGGCACACATACACATACCTGGTATGATATTTTACCAGGCCCAGGACCGAACCACAGTTAGCCATGTGGAGTCCAGCACCCTAACCCCATACCACCTGCTGCCCCCAGAAAGACGTTTTAATGAACGCTGAGAGCCTGCCCTTTCCCAAGCCCGTAACTCCCTTGGGTTTGCATTTTTTGTCCAACAAGAGTCCTCCCTCCTCAGCTTCCCGCCTCTGGAAAGAAGCCACCAGAAGGGATTCTCGTGTAAGAGAGCCAACCATGCTGTAGGAGTCATCGACTGTGTTACGCAGAGATGAACCCGAAGTGTATGAATTAAATCTCCCCTCAAGTCCCATAGAAATCCAATAAATAAATTAAATGCATGTGGATTTAAAAACGAGAGGCCAAGAAGGCTCGAGGCAAGGCACGTCTGACATTTGAAATAACAGAAGCAGGAGAGGGCGAGTAGCAAAATGTACACCACCTAGTGCGACAGGCCCGGCACCGCGTCTGCCTGACTCTGCTTACGGAGCATGGCCGCATGGCTGGGGAACTCGGTAAGACTCTCAGGGCGCCGGTGTGACTTAGAGCCATCGTTCAGGGGGCAATGTCCGTGGGATCCGCCTCAGTCCTCACCCCAGGAGAGCCAGGGCTGCTGCCAGTCCCCCGCCTTCAGCTACCCCTCCCATTGAAGAGCTCACACACCTGCCGAAGGGCCTCCTTCTCCCGGGCAATAAGTCACAAGAAACTAAAAGACGTCACTCCACCTGTCTTAGCTGCTCACTAGCTCAGCCCCTTAGACCACGTACAGCAAAGCTCACTGAGCCTCTGCTTCTTCGTCTATAAAATAGGGCTGGTGGCAAGGATGAAATGAGACTGTATCAGAAAAGCCCCCAGGCAGTGCTTGCTACATTGTCAGTGCTTAAACGACTAGCAAAACAATCGTGATTGTAAATGGCGCACCTATATAAATAGTCTGTCTGCAGTGTAACCATTACAAACGGCGTAGCTGAAACAGTATTGAGTAACATGGAAAAGGCTCATAATATCTTATTAAGAGAAAGAGTACAAAACAGAACCTAAAATATAACCAGGTTTTATTGAAATAAATGTTTTATTTAAGAAAAGAGACTGAAGGAACCTTCATTAACATGTTAACAATGGTTATCGTGTCTCATCGGGAGACTATGGATGATTTTGATGCTACATTCTCCTGTATTTTCCAAATGATCAGTCTGTATCATGTATTGCTTCGTGTAAGTTCCTCTTCAATAACGTGTATTAGTTTAATAGAGATGGATATACTGAAAAAAGCAAAAAGGGACCTATTATCTCTGCCAGAATTTTTTTTTCAAGTATCATTAACATGGCTAGAAAATCATAGAATTATAAAATTAGTAGTGGAACTTGCCTCTGTTTAAATCCCCTCATCCATCTCAACAAAGATAAATTCTGTTAACAGTTTCCTTCAAAGGAGAGAGAGAGAGAAAAAAAAAAACACTTAAACAAGGATCTATCATTGAAACAAACCCATCTCGTTATTTTACTTTTTATCACATTTAGTTTACATCACATTCTAAAAAGCATTGCTTTTAAATCCCTTTATTGGGACCAGTAGTTGGCGTAATGGCTATGTTGCTGGACTCCCATGTAGCCAACCATGGTTCGAGACGGTTTGAGTCCCTGACCTGGTAGCTTGAAAATCACCCTGGGTGCTTGTGCATGCATGCCCAAGATCCTGAGAGGAGAATGAAGGAGAAGGGATTGCGGCGTGCCCATCCCCTCTGGGGGGGGGGTGATTTCTCATTTTCTTTCTCTCTGTCTCTGTCTTTCTGGCGAGCGCACGCGCCCTATAGCAAAAACCTCTCCCCAAAAAACAGTAACATAAAAATAAATCCCTTTACCAATCACCCCAATCTATGCCACCGCCCCCTAAGACCTGTCCAGATGTGCTCCCATGAGCGTGTACCTGAGGACCTGAAGCTTGGAATGGGGTCTGGCCTAACCACAATCTGTAGAGATACCTGGACCCGATGGGTAAGCGTGTTGCACACAGTCCCCGAATGTGACTTTCATCGAAAACTTTTCTCACTTGGATACAGTTCCAAGTACAAAGCAGTAAAGCGAATCAGCAGGAGGGAAGGATGAGAGGAGCGTGCGTGCATGCGTGTGTGTGGTCCCTGCAACAAGGAGCGTTGGCGAGCGCTGTGCCACGATGACTTCCCTCCTAGGCGCTGTCCCCGGGCTTCCTGGTCACACCAGCTGTGCTTCCCCAGGCTCATCCCCTCCTGGCCCAACACTGACGAATTGCATTGATTTGCAGAACAGACAGCGCTGCAATTGCTGGAGTACATTTAATCTTTTCGAATTAAGCCAGCTTCACATTCGGCATACCATATGGAATTCTCTGGGGTGTTTATAAACACGGGTACACTTAAGCCCTCGTCCACTCTGCTTAAACGGTAGCAGGAGTAGTCTAGAGAGCCAAAGTCATACAGATCGAAGGGACGGGCTCCAGGCTAAATCTATGCAAGGGTAGAAAACGCTTTAGACACCATCGGGCCCAGAGGCTGTGCCCTGGAGGCCCACAGCGCTGAATTCGGCACACAGATGTGTCGTTTTGGCTGGCTTTGTGTTTCTCAAAAATTTTGTGCCAACGTTTTAAATGGGGAGATTTTATATTAAAATCCGGAATTCCTGTATTTGTAAAAAAAAAAAAAAAAAAAAAACAGAACTATGGCTGCATTGAGCACTCACTCCTGCATAGTAACCATGGTGCAGATGGGCAGATGGGCAGGAGCTTTTCCTCTACCAGAGTGCCCCTGGCTGTTCGCCATACCACCACCACTCCCTGCTGTCTGACACTGAGCGTCGGCAGCTCTCGTTTTCCACACGGTTCTTGCCTGTCTCTCAGGTCATCCTTATCTAAGTGAAGGCATTCATTTGACAAAGGAAGAGACTGAGTCTCAGAGTCCACAGTTGACTTCCTGAAAGTCACATGACCATCATGGGAAGGGGCTGGGGGCTGCTTCCTGGTGCACAGGGGGAACGGCTGGGCAGATACCAGGGTCGGGAGGCTAGGGAGGGCGTGAGAGCATAAGGCTCTCCCCAGACCAGGCACTTCCAGGTATTCCAACTCAGAGCTCTGGATTTCCTTCCTTAGGAAACGCTGTCTGGGGGGAGGACAGAGGAGGGCAGACCAATTTTACCCATGTGAGTTTTTTTGGGGGGGGATTCTTTTCAGTTTATTTCTTATTTTCTTTTTTGTTTGTTTGTTTGCTAGAGAGAAGGTGCACTCACCAGAGAGAGACTGAGAGAGAAAGGGAGGTAGCACTCCCCGTGACCATAGTCGCACGGCAACTCGTTCTCCTCCACCTCTCCCTCCGTTCAGGATTTGGGGCGCATGCACACTCCCAATGTGTCTCTCAAGCTGCCAAGTCCAGGACTCGAACTGCAGTCAACCATGTGGAATCTGGCTGCCTTAAGCAGCAGGACGTGGACCCAGCCTAAAGGTAATTTCTTTCAAGAGACTCAGTAGAGTCTCACCCGTGATCCTCCATTCACATCCCACCCCACCCACTCCCCAGCCAGCCAGGGCCACGAGCACTCTCTAGGCACGAGCAGCTCAAGGAGCCATCCATCTTCCATACGGATCCGCATTACCGGAGCATACAGGACCCCTGCACCACAGAGCTGGCCCCTTATATTTGAGACCTAAGAGACTGGGGAGCAGCCGATGGCATAATGGTTACATCGCTGGACTCCCACATAGTCAATTACAGTTTGAGTCCCAAGCCTGGTGGGTTAAAACTCACACCAGATACATGTGCATGTGTATACAAGATCCCAAGAGGAGAATGGAGAAGGGACTGAGGTGTGGCCATCCCCCCTAGGGGGTGATTTCTCACTTTCTGTCCATCTATCCGGTGAACACACACACCCTATTGCCAAATCTGTGTCTTTACTAAAAAAAAAAGAAAGAGAGAGAGACAGAGACCGCAGCTGATTTCAAGGTTACATGAGAAAATAAGATATTTAATCCTTGCTTTAGGCTCATTGTAGGTATTCCTTCATTCATTCACATAGCAAACATTATCTACTGTTTTTCAGTATCTATTAATACTTTGGGCTCAGGGGAAACAAATATGTTAAATCTTTTTTTTAAAAGAATTACTTTATCATTATTATTAATTTTCAATTTGCTATAGGGCATGTGTATTCACCAGAGGGAGACAGAGAGAGAAAGAAAGTGAGAAAGGAAGCCTCCAGGTCCTGGACTCTCTCTGTCATGTAGGAGTCCAGCACCCTGAACACCACGCCACCTGCTGGCCCCCATAGATGTTAAATCTTGATTTTGATCCCCATAGATCTTACGGTTCAGGAGAGGAAAGCAGGCATGTAAGCATGTGAGTTCTAAGAGCCCTCCGCCCAGCTCTCCCGGTCAGATGTGCAGGTGAAGGCAGTACCGTGCAGTGGTTAAGGATCTGAATGGTCGTCCTGCCCCTTCGTAGCTCGGGCGGAACGCCTCGGTCCTCTAAGCTTCAGTTTTCACATTTGCTCAAAGCCGCTGAATGCCTCCCTCCCGGAGTTCTTACGAAGAAACACTGGAGAAGCTCCTTCCAGAGTAAGCATCCAGTGATCGGTGGTTATTTTCTTTCTAGAATGCCTTCTCCTCTCCTGTTTACCCATTCCTTTACCTTCTCGTTCATGTCTCTCTCATTTCTTCCAGACATTGTTTTGAGATCTCCAAATATTTCCTGGCATCACGAGTAGTAATTCCACGGGGTGACAGGCAGAAATTCTAATAAAAAGTGCCACCGTTGTATTAAAATAAACCCACTTGACCTTGACTCTCATGAGTGGTGCGTTGTGTGTGTTACTCCTTTGAAGGACAAAAAATCGTGCTAAGAGGGAACCCTTCATTAGTTGGTCTCTTAGTTGCATGGAGTATCTCGGTTGATGGTCTTGCCCTGGGGCTCTTACACAGATTCATCCGGGCTTTGAGTGTTCCAGAATCAAAGGTAAAACAAAGGGCTAGGAGTCAGAAAAACCGTAGATTTCACTCCCAGGGCAGACACTGGCTCCCTGGCTGGCCACAAGCAAATTACCTCCCCTCCTCACTTTCCCCACCAGCACTGCAGAAATCAATGACTTCCCGTCTCACTCGAGGACTGAGAGACTTAATTAAGCTTCCGGAAGACGGTCCTTGGTTAACCTAATTCTCTCTGTAAACTAACAATCCTTCGCTTTCCTAATCACGCCTCCCAAATTTTTCATAAATTAGTCCCCTTTCTTCCTAAAGTCAGAATGCGTATGACTTTTTCGATTCATTTCCATCTTTTTAAATGATATTGTTATTACTGTCCCATAAACAGACGCGGGGTGAGAAAGTTCTGGTGGGGCGGGCACCTCAGGGATGGCAGAGACCCCAGGGGTGCTCCTCTTCAGAAGGGAAGTGCTGGGGTTTTTTTGTTTGTTTTTTGGGGGTTTTTTTTGGAGAGGTTTTCGTTATAGGGCGCGTGCACTCGCCAGACAGAGAGAGAGAGACAGACAGAAAGCAAGAAATCACCCCCCAGGGAGGATGGCCAGGCCGCAATCCCTTCTCCTCCATTCTCCTCTCGGGATCTTGGGCACGCACGCACATGCACCCGGGGTGAGTTTAAGCCACTGGGCCCGGGACGCGAACCGCAGTCGAGTATGTGGGAGTCCAGCGACATAGCCATTACGCTAACTGCTGGTCTGGGGAAGTGCTATTTTTGACCTGGAAATGTAGGACAGAGACAACTGGTACATGATGGTGAAGGCGGCCAGACCCCACATGGCCAGCCACGTGGTTTAAGCGCAGACCCAGTGGTTTGAAAAACATGCTGAGTTTACATGCACGTGCACCCAAAGTCGCTAGAGGAGAATGGAGGGAAGGGGATTGTGATGTGGCCATCTCCACCCCCATTTCTCACCTCTCTCTCTCACTCTCTCTCTCTCTCACACACACGCATGCATCCCATAGCAAATTAAAATAAAGAAAGAATCTTCTTTTAAAAAAATATGAAGGAGAATAGTCTCAGGTGCCCTAGTCTCTACGGCAGCCTGAAGGAGGATCAGAGATCAGGCTAAACTTATTTTGCTGTGTATGGTCCTACCATGAGGGGGAGTCCTAAACCCACAGGTTCAGCTCCGCCACCTCGTGGCTGAGCGACCTCGAACCCCTCACTCTGCAGTCTCTTTGTAAAACGGTGGTAATAAAGTCTGATTTCCACAACTAGACCAGGATCAACCCTTTGAGAACAGGGATTGTGCAAGTGTAACCAGCTTTTTCAACAGGGGTTCCACAAGAGAGTTAAACTCCATGGAAAATTATGTTGAATGACTCTTTCCTCAATTTTCCCAAGTGTGATATATAACTAATACCATTCGGATGCAAAGGAGAGAGATGAATTCATCACCTACGATGGAGGCCTTAAGGCAT